AAATTATTTATAAACTCATGAAAAAGAAAAGGAACACATTTGCAAAATGGAAAGTTCTGTCCTTTCTTTCTCTCTTTGAAATATTTGAAATAACATAGTTTTTTTTTTTTTTTTTTTTTTTTTAAAAAAAGTTTTAGTTACAGAAAAATTTAAAAAACAAGCCCCCCACCACCACCTTGCTGAGATGGTAAAGGTGTTGACTTTGCATTTTGTCTCATGGAGGCTTTTCAAGGAAAGCTTCATTATTTTTGTAGTGCTTTCATAAATGCTCACTGACTTCGATGACAGGGCCTCAGCATTGGTGCCGCTGTCACGTCCAGCCTTTCTTTCTGTGATTTTTCTCATTCGTCTTCCATTCTTGTCTTTATTCTGGTGTTAGAGCCAAGGGCAACCAAGAGTGGGGCAGCTCAGGCTTGGAGTCTTAAGCCTTCGTGTGAGCCCTGGTTCAGGACAATTACCTGGGCAGGTTCACGCCTTTGTGAACCTCGACTTTCTCCTCTGGACAATGGGGAGAGTGAGAACAGACTGAGTCTGCGGTGGTACCATCGCAAGCTGGAGAGGCTTAGCCATACATTGGCTCCATGCTGAGTACTTACAGCAGATCCTGTCTGGTGGTCATACAGCTTTGCACTTTGCCTTACTGTGTCCCTCAGACATGAACTGGTGTATGTCACCAAGCTTGAAGAGCTGTGTGGAGAACTGGATTAGGTGTGTGAACCCCCAGACAGGACAGTCCTCCCACACACCGACTCCCTCTGTAGCCTGAGATCTTCCCTGGTCCTTTGCTGGGAACAAGTGTCCCTGACTTCCAGAAGCTCTTCTTTTCAAAAGTTTCACAGGGTGAGTTCTTCTGCTCAGGGGTTTTACTTTTAAATATGGTAACTATGTCTGATCAATGAAACCTATAGTTAAATTAAGTAATATAGTTTGGGGTTTAAAAACAAAAGCATGGCTTTGGACAGTAGTACTTTCTCTCTGACTTTGGCTTAAAGCTCACTCCCAAGCAGAGTGGGCCTGGAATGGCCAGGGCTCTTTGATTCTTGGAGAACACAATTTTAAAAAGAGAATTCTCAGCAGGGCTGGTATGGCACGCCTGTAATCTCTGCACTTGGGAGGTGGGGCAGGGGTCCAGCCTCAGTGACTGGCCTGTCTGTAGGAGACCCTGGCTTAGAAAGCTGGAAGGAAGGGAAAGAAAAGAAAATTCTAAGAATCGACAGATTTATTTATTTATTTATTGAACTACTTATTGGCAGTTTATTTTGCAGAGTGTTTTATAAGTCACAGCCTACTTTTTGTCTTTGGTGGAAACTCTGCCTCCCTGACACCCACCCCTTCTCTACTGAGATGGTCTAGGTGTCCCGCTCTCCATTACCTCCTGGGGGCGGGATTTTAGCCCCACATAGACTTAGTTCCCAAACTTCGTTGGAATGCTTCCTTCGTTATGAACACTTCTTAAATGCACACTCCTACCACACACTGTGAAGGCCTTATGACATGACCACGTCCAACTGCCTTTCAGTCTAGACACGCGCCTCATCATGTGGGTGGGATGCCCTGTGGTTAGAGAGAGTAGCATGAGGCCAAGCCATTGTCAGTAGTGGAGTGGGGCTCTTGGTACCCAGCCGGTGCTCTTACTATCAGAATGGCCTGTGTATTGGGCAGAAATGAAATACATTAGTAATTAAGAGTTAGTGTAATCTATTTTTTGAGTTGTTGAGAGCTGAGGCCGTCAGTATGGGAGGAAAGGGTAATATAGCTCATAATTTAATTTGGGAGTATCAGTAGGAAGGAGTGATTTTATTTAAAGCCGTCCCTACTCTGTGAACTCACTGAAAAGCTCAGAGAGAGTGACAAGCCTAGGAACAGCAAGCAGCGACAGCGTCGGAGGAGCTGAAGTCATGTCGCTGCCCTACAAAGAGGAACTGGGGAGTCCCAGCCAAAAAGTTCCAGCTTAGGGGACAGGGAGTACACAAATGGAGTTTGTCACAAGTTGTCGTAGGGTTTGAACTCAGGTGAAGAGGCTTCTGGCTAAGCAAGGAGCAAACATCCCAAAGGTAATTATTACTACAGTCTGTTAAAACCCACCAGAAGTTATTAAAATCCTGAGCTCACAGTGTTAACAAGACGGAGAAGGAGGAGGGTGAGCTGTGGGGACAACGAGATGGTGGCCGAAATGAAGGGAGCGAGAGAGCACTTGGGCCCTGTGAGGAGACGCTAGTGAACCAACTCATTAGTCAGAAAACCGGAAGGAACCGGAGAGCACCAGCATGCGCCTTGCCTTTTCTGTGTGAATTGTAACTAGACAAGCAAGGAGGAGATGAAGGAGTGTTTTGTTGTTGTTTTTTGTCTTTGATTTTGGTTTTGTCTTTTTTTCCAATGCTGTGTATCAAACCCTGGGCTTTTGGCATCTTAGCAAATGCTCGGTCACTGAATTACTTCCTTGGCCTAGGAGTGTCTTTTTACAAATATGTTCAAGCTACTAAATAAAGATGGGAAGGTGGAATCCAGAGACTATCTGTAACCTCCAAAGAATGAATGGACCTGGAACTTACTAAGCTAACCTCATCCAACAGACATTGATACCACAGATCTACCATAGAACACATCCCGACTGGAAAGAAGGAAACCAGGCTGAGGGCTCCCCTCGGCTGATGAGCCCTTCCCCACACCACTCCAGATGCGAGTGACGCTGCCTTTTTTGTAAGACTTCTCCATGTGTCCTCTCGATTGATTATCGCACAGTTTCCCGGTCTCTATCCCTGTATCCCACAGTCTAATGTCCACTTAGCAGCTAAATGACCATTTTTAAGATATAAGTCAAAGCCGGGCGGTGGTGGCGCACGCCTTTAATCCCAGCACTCGGGAGGCAGAGGCAGGCGGATCGCTGTGAGTTCGAGGCCAGCCTGGGCTACCAAGTGAGCTCCAGGAAAGGCGCAAAACTACGCAGAGAAACCCTGTCTCGAAAAAACCAAAAAAAAAAAAAAAAAAAAAAAAAAAAAAAAAAAAAAAAAAAAAAAAAAAAAAAGATATAAGTCAAATGCATGGCAGTCCCCTGCTCAAAACCGGGCA